TCAGGTCTGTTATGTTGCTGGATAACTTCTTACAGATACGACCCGTGAAAGATTAGATTGTCACAGCAGGTTCACTCATGGTGTGTGACTCTCAATCTTTGCTGTTTATTATTTGTTGCATATAAAGTCTGTAGTGCAGTTTGTTTGTTTGATGTTTGTGCTACTGTAAAACCCTTTTTACATCACCAAGATTAATTTAGTAAATGATGTCATTTTTTAGTATTCTTATAGCTTTTAGCCAGTAAAGAGCTTAAAGTCTAAAAAACGACTAAACTTGTCGACTTGTTGCCATGGTGATCACAGGGGGTTAGAAGTGACTCTAGTGAAGATTTAAAAAAAAAAAATAGGGGATTTTCTTGTGCACCAATATCTCTCTCTCTCTCTCTCTACCACACACATATCCAGCCACAGAGTCGTGCCAACCTCCCTCTGGTTATCTCTCCCGCTTTCTCTTAAACACACACAGTCCGTGGCACAGATTAGGGTCAGTTGACTGAGCTGGTGTGACAGTCTGTGCTCGTGTCTTAACTGAGTTTGGCGTTAATGTCTCAGCCTGTGGAAACGAGGCCGACTGAATCCTCCTGAGAAAGCTCTGCTCTTACTGACCCTTCGACTATGAACGCAACAAGGGCTTTTAAGTTGTAGAGCCGGTGTTATAGCCACAGTTTGTGTTTATGTGTGTGATTCCATGAAACCAGCTGGAAAAATCCAATAGCGTCATCCCTTCCCATAAAGCTGTATAATAGATCAATAAATCACAGCTAAAATTACAAAGTTGTGTGGAAGATAAGAACATCTTGTGACTTTTAATTAAGAAAACCAGATTAGCCCAAACTGCTTTCTGATGTTGGTTAAGAGACTCAAGTGCAAATTCTCTTAAACAGCAGTGAGGGCTCCATCAAAGGAGCCATTTTCTATTTGTGTTCCTTTGCTATAAAAAAACTTGACTTCTGGCTATTTGTTACATGATTTGTGAGTTCTGCCAAAGAGATTTTCAAAGCTTTAAATAGAACTTACTCTCAGATGAATGTGTTTTAGCATGTTATGCTGCAAGGGCTACAAATGTAAAGGTCCAGTGTGTAAGATTTAGTGGCATCTAGTGGTGTAGTTGCAGAATTCGCCTCTATCTAGAGCTGGTGTTTGGTTTGTCTGCTAGAAACATGGTAGTTGAACACGGTGGACTCCATGAAAGGCGACCCGTCTGTAGATTTAAATGGCTAATTTTAAGGTAAAAAAGCCACAAATGCCAATAGATCATCCTAAATGTTACACACTGGACCTTTAAGTTGATCAATTAGTCATTCAACAGAAAAACAAAACAGCTATTTATTTATCATTTATGTCATTTTTAAGCTTCTTAGATGTGAATATTTCTTGTTTTTTCTTCTTTCTTCTCTTATATTATCGTTTGGGATTGTTTCCCCCAAAATTGTAATAACCAAATGATTAATCTGTTAATTGAGAAATTAATGATCAGATGAATTCATAATGAGAATTATTTGCAGCCTTATAGTGAACTCCTTTGTGACACAGTTATCCCTGTTTTTCATTCCTTCCTCCTTTTGTTTTCTTTTTGTGGTGACCTTTAAAAATTGTCAGTGTTTTGCTATTTCCTGGTCATTTTTCCAGCAGAGCAGAGGCACTACAGCTCGATCAGACTCTCGCTGTCTCATTTCTGTGTTTTTTTTAATTACACATCTGTGGTCCATTCGTGAATCTAGCAGAAGATTTACATCATACTAGAGTTGTTTTTCTTCTGCCTCGTTCTGATTTTAGCTGTGATCTGGATGAAAGCTACAGTCCCTTCTAATTTCAGCCCTTGGCTCAGACAGACCAAATTGCAGTTGGAGTTGAGACAGAATGTTGTATGCTTGTACATTTAAACAGACATTTAAACGTGTTCCACGTGCTAGAATGAGAGTTTGTCCATGAAATGCAGCTTGTGAGAAACAGCAATTATATATGTTGCTTTTTTTAGGTGATCTTGTGACCGCAAAAGGTAATCAGATGTTGGTGTGTTATTGGGAAGCACAGAGGACAGAAGAGTGATTGTGAACCACTCTCCTCTTTCCCCTTGGTAAATTGGCTTGCAGTTATGGGCTTAATCAGTGCACAAAGACACCTTTTTCTGCGGCGTGTTTCCAGAACTGTGACTGAATAACTTCCCCGAATACTGAGCATTTTATCAGAATTAAAACTGCAAATAGATGTTTCAGGTTTCAAGCCAAATGACAGATTTATTGTTTCTAATTGTCAACAGATCTGATTTAATCAGTTTTAGTATAATTTAATGTGAGTAATCTAAATAAGAGTCTGACAAATTGACATCCTTTTTTAAAGATTTCTCAGATTGTAAGTACACAGCTTCTGTACTGATTGTGTATTGGCCTGTGTGTTTAGTTCTGGGAGGTGATCAGCGATGAGCACGGCATCGACCCAACGGGAACCTACCATGGAGACAGCGACTTGCAGCTGGACAGGATCAGTGTGTATTACAACGAGGCCACTGGTGAGTACATCCTGACTGACTGAGGTCTGTGTTTGATAAAGTGAGATGAGACCTCCCCCCTGTGGAGAAACTGGCTCACTGCGGCTGCAAGGAATAAGATGCAGATAAAAATACAACTGCTTGTGCTTATTATTTAACTGGATTTAAATAATGACATTTACATGTCTTGATGAGATTCAGTATGAGGGACATACTGCCTCAAAGAGCCACAATAAACTACATTTGTTGAAGATATTCATAGTAAAAGATCTGCTCCAGACATGTGTTATGACAAATATACCAATAGGATTTTAATTTCCACATTAAAATCTATAAAAAGGCATCTACTCCTTCTACTTCATTAAAAATTCCAATATGCAAATTGTGTTCATTTCTAAAGTTTAGGGCATCTACAGCTTGTGCACTCATAAATGCAGGATCCATCAAATCACATGCAAGAGGAAGACCCAGTGCCATCCCACCTCCGGTGAAGCGCAGAGCACTTTTTAAAGGTCCATTCGTCAGTGGATGTGACTGTGGCTTCAGTTCTACATCTACACGGTGTATAAGTTGCATACTATGTTACCAGACGTGGTTGGAATAGTTTCGTGACTGTCACCATAACCATGCCTTTATGCCCCTTAAAAATTGTCAGGAATTTTTAGTTTAGGCAGCAGAGAACGAGCTGTTCCACTGTTCAGAAGGCGGTGCTTTGCGCGGTGGGCAAAAAAATGCTAAGACAGTCGTCGCTCGTGCTAGCTGGTCAAACTGGCTGAACAGTGACGATCAAACGCAAACTCTGCACATACATCATACTGCACAGTCAAGCTCATCTTACTGTAGAAGAAGAAAAGTTGTGGGGGACTTTACAGAGTTTAGAGATCCTAGAATAGCCTTAGTGATGTGGTGAAAGAGAGTTCAAAGTTAAAGTGATTGTGGGGAATTCTACTATTATTTTCCAATAATAAATGCCTTAGGACAGACCTTTTTTATGTATTTCATGTCATCTGAAGTTATGTCAAACACAAATATCAGGCTATCTTGGCTGCATTGTTGAATGTCTGTGGGATCAAGTAACATAGTCATCATTCCAGGAATTGAGCAAAACTAAGCAAACAAACCAGGGGGAGTAAAGCAGTGCCTTTTTTTTCAAGCTTAGAGGGGAAGCCCACGGTCTCAGACTTGGAAACCTCCTGGTTTTAAAGTGTTTGACTCCACCTAGTGGTCACATGCCCTTACAGCAGCCGTTATACTGTACAGTGAGCTTTTCACTCTACTAAACGGAAGCCTATGTAGTTATATGCATATGTGTTTCTTTCCAATACTCTTAGTTTAAAATGTACTGTACAGATTTTGTTTGTTTCTGCTGACATGTTGTGTGTTTCTGTGTGCAGGTGGGAAATATGTGCCCAGAGCCATCCTAGTAGACCTGGAGCCAGGCACCATGGACTCAGTCCGCTCCGGACCCTTTGGACAAATCTTCAGACCTGACAACTTTGTCTTTGGTGAGCACTCAGCCTCTTGGAGAAGAGTTTGAGTTTATAATGTGGCCTTCTTTAATAACAGTGAGGTGTGATACAGCTTGTACATCTTTCCCAAGGACACTTGGACGCTTGATGTCACAGAGATTTGGTCTCTAGTTGAAGGAAAGACTCTGGGTGTCCCTTTTGACCTATTTTGTGGTTTTAGTCACGTCCTGTCCATTTGACAAAAATAGCTCAACTGACTGTCCTATATGGCACAGACAAGCCTACTCTTGCCATAAAATCCCAGTATGAAACCACATGGGCTCTCAGCTTACTTATTGACTTTGACTTAGTTGTAGGATACTTCAAAACTGCTCAGTGTTGACTTTTATTATGCTTGCAATTAATTAGAACACAAATTCAAGTTGTGTTTGTTTGGTTGTTAAGTGGATGGCAGGAAAGAAAAGATACTATTTTTTTTTATTCCCCAGGTCAAAGCGGAGCGGGAAACAACTGGGCCAAAGGTCACTACACGGAGGGGGCGGAGCTGGTGGATTCGGTCCTGGATGTGGTGAGAAAAGAGGCTGAGAGCTGTGAGTGTCTGCAGGGTTTCCAGCTTACACACTCCCTGGGAGGAGGCACTGGCTCCGGCATGGGCACCCTGCTCATCAGCAAGATCAGGGAGGAGTATCCAGACCGCATCATGAATACCTTCAGTGTGGTGCCCTCTCCTAAGGTAACGCATAAAATGTTGTATACAGTAAAGTAAAAGAATTTGTTCATTTACCATTGCATATTAGATATTAGCCTACATTGTTTACACTACATGTCCTTAAAGTGAAATAATAATACCATCCCTTATTGCTGCTCTTATAGAGACATAGTAGTAGTGTTTTCTGTTTCCTACAACTGTTGTTGTGTCTTTGTCTCCAGGTATCAGACACTGTGGTTGAGCCGTACAATGCCACACTGTCAGTCCACCAGCTGGTAGAAAACACAGATGAGACCTACTGCATTGACAACGAAGCCCTTTATGACATTTGCTTCCGCACTCTCAAACTCACAACGCCCACCTACGGCGATCTCAACCACCTGGTTTCAGCCACCATGAGTGGCGTGACCACTTGCCTGCGTTTCCCCGGCCAGCTTAACGCTGATCTGAGGAAGCTGGCGGTCAACATGGTTCCCTTCCCTCGCCTCCACTTCTTCATGCCTGGCTTTGCTCCTCTGACCAGCAGGGGGAGTCAGCAGTACCGCGCCCTAACGGTGCCCGAGCTCACCCAGCAGGTGTTTGATGCCAAAAACATGATGGCAGCTTGCGACCCTCGCCACGGACGCTACCTGACGGTGGCAGCTGTGTTCCGTGGCCGCATGTCCATGAAGGAGGTGGATGAGCAGATGCTGAATGTCCAAAACAAGAACAGCAGCTACTTTGTGGAGTGGATCCCCAACAACGTCAAGACGGCGGTCTGCGACATCCCACCACGTGGCCTCAAAATGGCCGTCACCTTCATCGGCAACAGCACCGCCATCCAGGAGCTGTTCAAACGCATCTCTGAGCAGTTCACCGCCATGTTCCGCCGGAAGGCCTTCCTCCACTGGTACACTGGAGAGGGCATGGATGAGATGGAGTTCACAGAGGCAGAGAGCAACATGAATGACCTGGTGTCCGAGTACCAGCAGTACCAGGACGCCACGGCCGAGGAGGAGGGAGAGTTTGAGGAAGAAGTGGAAGAGGATGCCTAAAAGAGTAATGCAGCATGTGCTGAAGAAAGAGAAGAATAACCCAAAAAAAATCGCAAAAAAGTGAAAAGAAAAAAAATATTGTGATATGGAGTGAAGGAATGTAGCAGAGCGAGAAGCATGGGGGTCTGAATTGGTTGATGGAGGGAGAGAAACGATGGGAAGAAATGAGAAGGAAGGTTGAATGTAGGCAGAGAAGTGAACGAGAAGCGGGATGAGAAACTGGATAACAATTACGTGACCAAATTCATGTGCCATGGTTTACAGTTTATTGTGACGCCATGTAGGCCGGTTTTTACCAAGACTAGCCTCCCAAAATCTTTTTTTACACTAAGATCTTGTCTTGTAGCAAATGCACAAATGAAAAGCACTTCTTACACTTCACTTTCATCACATAGGATTGTCTTTTACTGTCTCCTGGAGAGTAAAAAAGAAAATATTAGGAAAATGCAGCGGCTTTGTACTGTGAAGTTAATTCCTTCAACAAATGTGCTAAGTTGTTGAATTACTTATTTTAATTACTGAACCTACAATTACTCAGACTCCATGCAAGCAAGCTTGTAAAATTTTTGCCAAATATTGATGTGACATTACCTCTTGCATGAAAAACAGTATTTTTACATTCATTGGAAAAATGTCATCTCTGTGTTTCTTCACTGATCTGCAGTACAGAGTTAGAGGTTTTATTCCAAAGGGTTGAAACATTTAAACAAGGGTGAAGTCAACGAATGTCAAGTGTTAGAAACCCTATAAATGTGACTTAAATTGTTTTGGGGAAAACCAGGCCAATAACTTTGAAAGTCAGCTTCAGAAATAAGAATAATGTCATTATCAGTGTTAATTGCTTTTATCAGTGTTCATTGCTTTTGCTTTTTTTGGTCAGCTTTCAAGACCCACTCTCAGATGAATGTGAATTTGGGTAGTCGGTGGAACAATACTGTCTCCTTTCCTGGTCAACACATGGAAAGGCAGCTCTCTTTTCATATTGTAGTAATATTAAACTATGGAAAAGAAGAAAACTTGTGTCACTCAGCTAAAGGCAGCAGTCGGTTGTTTACGTCACAAATCCTCATAATCAGGTTATTGTTTTCTCCCTTGAATTGTAACCTTTATTCAGAAACCACAAAACAAAAAATGTTTAGATTGTCAATCAGAACAAAGCTCTGTTTCATTGAATTCCTGACAAATAAATTGACTTCAGTCAGATACATTTTCACAGTTATAATGCAGCAGCAGCAGTAGCAGGATTTTTCTCAGACGCCAGCCAACGTCATGAGGAGGATCACACACTGCAGATGCCCAGATCTCAGGCCAGGCCATGCAAAGCATATTAGCCTTAGCCTCTAACTATTTTCCATTTCATACTATTTGGGTATCTTTGATTCAAATAGACTTGAGCTCATCTTGACTATAATCATCTTTGCTGCTGTTGGATTAGAACCGTGTCTGCCAAGTATTGTATTTAAAGATGGTAGCTCCATGTGGTCACCATAAGACATTGTATTTGGATTCAACTAATGAACATATTAGCGGTATCACAAGAACGTACAACTAATCTGCATGTTGAACCTCAGCTTTGAGAAAGACAAACATGTTGGAGAGAAGTTAAAGGATGTTTTACCTGTTTTTGTTTTAACTTGATCTCATCATAGTGAGAATTTGTGTCTACAGCTCACTCTCAGTGTCCAGAAATGTTCACTTTAACAGCTCAGCTTCTGGTGCTTGTGTGTATTTGACATCACACCAAATCAACATTTTATGTTTTACAGTTTCTTGAAACACATTTCAAAGATAGCATGCTTTTACTTTTTAAAGAAAAAGTAAAGGCCAATTTGCAGTTTTATATTTCATCCTATAACATGCGTTGTCCTGTGAAGAAGTGCAAACGTTCTGGTAAATGTTTACACTCTGAGCCACTACAGTATGCATTCAAATCAGTCCTTTGTGTTCAGTACGTGATCCTCAACTGTGCTGTCTTTATGTCTGTGTGTGCTTTATTGTTTGTTAGTACCTCTTTAATTCCTGTGGAGCAGTTTGACATATAGGATCCCAGTGACTGTGAAACATTTACGAGAAATAAAAAGGCATTGGCTGGAAAAAGAATACACTTTTGTGTTTGTTGTTATGGATGAACTTATTTTTGTCTTTTCAGTATGAGCTTTCAGGAGGTCACTACAGTTTTTTATGTGAAATGGAGTGAGAGTTGCAGTGTGAAGGCAAGTATCCAAAAAAACATCTAACATCTTTCCCATCTCACAAACATGGTCATATTTCAGTTGTTCAGTGAATAATTCACTGCATGGCTTCAATGAAAGGTTAGTTTTATTATTATTTATGAATATATTGGTTTTACCCCATAAAATATAAGGAAATTGTGGAAAATGTCCGTCATACGTTCCCAGAGTTGAAGGTAACATATACTTGTTTGTCAGGTCTAAACCCAAATATATTACATTTATTATGATGAAAAAAGAAAAACAACGCAGGCAGCAGCTGAGACCATAAATCAGGACCTTGGACGGAAGTAGCTAACGTTTTAAATTTACTGCAACCAACATACTCTTACCACTTAATTCCTAAAACTTACAGATTGTACAGCACTGACAATCCTCTATTTTGTTTATTTATAACAATTCATCATCATGATCCCAGGAATAATAATCTGGAGTTGTCTTTTAAACAGCAGAACTTTATTCTTAGTAACACATCTACAGCTATGCAGCAGATAAAAAAGGAAAGATTTTAAAAACAAAAATATAATATAATATTTTATATATATTTGTTTATTTTATTACTATTTAGATTTGAAATCTGGGAGGAAACCGAAGCACTGATCCCATGCCAACACAGTGAGCACTCTGTACTCCTCAGGGCAAGGAGGTCAAGGCCTGAAACTGAATTCTCACCTTGTTGCTGTGAGGCCGCAGCACTGAGGCACTTGTGGGGCCCTGTGGGATCTGAAGTCCAACTTCAAATCCAGGCTGAACACTCAGCTCTGTGCTACCAGCCTCAGTTTCTGCTGGACATGAGGTGGAACTTCAGGTCCCACAAGACCCTTTTCACAGCAGACATTGCAAATGTTGTCAGTGTTTTTTCTACCATGACAAAGTGTCTGCTGTGAAAAGGGTCTGTTCCACCCACCCGCCCTTTAGACTGCGGATGGTTACTCTTTGCTGTTACATTTGCAGCAGGCAGTAAATAGCTTGGCCATGGTCGTGAAAAGACTTACCGCCAGACTTCTTTAGTGGTGTCACCAGATGCTTCTTCACGATCGTTATCATATATTTGTAAATCAATGTATGCTGTGACAACAGACCCACTTGCACAGTCCCTGCACTGCCCAGTTTTCTTCATGATCTGCTTAACCATAGCCACCGTAAGCCAGCAGCAGAGTTCATCCAACTATTGGACTGGGTGTGCTGAGGCCTCACCTGCAGCTTCACTAGCTTCATCACTGATACCGGGGTCATCAGTGTCACTTTCCTTTACCAAGGGGCCCTCCGTGAGTGATGGCAGACTTACCACTGCCCAATTAATCTTACTCAGAGCAACACTCACACAGTCCCTCTTCCTTTCACGCTGCTGTATCTGCTGGCTAAGCCAGTTCCACATCAGTTTCATTAAAGTGTTCACTTCGGTTTGAATCGCAAAGAAAAAGTTCACCCTGCGTCCTTGTCTTTCATGGCCGAATACTATCTCACTTATCATCTGTGCCCTTTCTTATAGTCTGATCTCCCTCTGGTGGGATCTTCGAGGCCGGCAGTTCACTCAACTCGCTGCTGCCTCCACAACTTTTGCAGAGCTCAGAGTTTACCCTCTCTGTCTCTTCCTCCACCACAATGTCTATGACCTTCACTGAGCTTTGGCAACTGATGCTCTCTGGAACACCAGTCATCCCCAAAAAAGTGCGTGAAACAGTGTCTCCCAGACACTCATGGGCTTGGTTTTCAGATAGGAAGCTCATCTGAGATCTATCAGATCCAGATTTATTGAAAGATGCTTAAAACAAAACACACACACACACACACACACACAGAGAGAGAGAGTTTTGAAATAAAAAATATAAACAACCAAAACAAAATATACTTTCTTAAAACATATCATATGATTTAATCCAAATAAATGATGTTTACTTGGATTAATGTCCTTTAACCCCCACTAGGGGTCGCCAAAGCTTCACGGGGGTCGCAAGGCCTTCTTGATTTTAACAGGTGTAAGAAAACATAAAAATTATTGCACAGTTGGCCTGTATATCAGAATTTTGTTAATTTCTGTGAATAAAACTGTTTGTTGTTGTTAATTTCATAGTTTAGATTATCATTCAAGGTCTAAACTTTGAAGACAGACTTCACTCAGGCTAAACACTCTGGTCTTGTATTCGAAACGTATGCCGTTAAAATAACCAAAGAGCTACTAGAACAATAAGAAGGTTAAAAATTATTAAAAAATAAAAAAGTAAATGATACTGACAGAGAATTGAATAAAAAAGGCCCCTAAAACTATCACGGTAGATCATCTCTGATGCTCAAAATTCTTCCAAATCACTTGTTTCTCACAATCTTCCTGCAGTTATTGCTGTTTATCAGTTTTTCTGTACTGTTAGTGTTATGCATTTAATAAAATATGAAATAGCCATAAAATATTCACAGATTCAGGGGTTGTCAGGAAACCACTTGCTTTAAGGAACTGTCTGCATATTCTGTGCTGTGTAAAGGTGCAAAGAATGGCCCACTTTAATTCACTCACTTTACCAAAAAGGAAGGATTACCTACAACTCAGAAGTGGTGATAAAATAACTTAAAATAAGTGGAAATACTGACTGAGCCGCACAAACTAATGTGTGAGGCATCCGGGCTGCGTAGGGAGGATTCCCCCCTTTAATGATCTGCTTGACCAGATAAATGAGCACCAGACTGGAGAAAGTGTGTGTGTGTGTGTGTGTGTAGACCAGTATTCGCCTGAGGATAAACTGCAGAGCGGCTGCTTGTGGCTTCAAGCCAGATTTCACGATCTTACCGAGGCTTCCCGAGCACCGCCGATCTCAGAAGATCCACAAACCCGACACCAACCGAAACTCTCCACTTACTTCCGATCCGGCCCCATTTCAGTCTGCTGTTGTCGGGTTGGGGGTGACGAAATACATGAAATAAAAAATAAATAAAAAAGGCGATTTCCAGAAACCATCACTCCAGAGCCCCTCCCAGTCCAGGGATTTTCGGATTCGAGGCTTGACAAAGGTAATTACATCCAATTATAATTATATATTAGGCTACAGCAATTGGTGTTCTTCTCAGTAGTGAAAACAGGGAGATAGTGGGTTAAATCCTGCAGTTTTTTCCTTTGCTGTTTAGACTATTTGCTCCCATACGGCAGTAAGGGGTTGCGTTAGGGTGTAACCAACAGCAGTATACTTACAGCATTCACACAAGAAGAAAACGATAAAACGGTTTCAGGGCAGATAACCGGAGGATAAACTTTATGAAATGCCCGAGAAAAAACGATCAAATTCCCAGTATTCATTCAGAATCCATGGAAGTATTACTCAGACGAGACATTATTTAATAAGATATTTGTGCTCCAAATGGCCTTCCTTCCTTCCTTCCTTCATTCATTCATTCATTCAGTTTTGGGTTGATCCTAAATTCTTAAAATCTTCCTACTGATGTCTTGGAAACTGAAATGAAGCCAGTATTTACACTGTGAGGCTGATAACCGGATCACCAAATGGTTTTAACGCACAGTACAGTGCAGTATTATGTGTGCTGCATTATCATGCCCCTGTATGCGGGATATACCAGTCTGAATTAGGGGTATTTTCTGGTCCATCCCGGTGGAAACGGTTACGCAATGTGGACCCGCTGCGCTACGGCGCACATTAGAAGCGCTGACTAAGTATTTGTCACGTAGTCATTAACGGAGTGTTGGGTGAGCAGAATAAGGGATAATGCCTGTTTCTGATGTCTTATGGATACACCAAGTTATGTTAGATGGGAGGTAAAACACCTTGTTCTGTAACCAATCCCCCTCCAACAAGCTATCTGCTGATTTGTTGCTTTATTAGCAGCTATAACTGCATTGGCTCAGCGATGGTATGGCAGCTCCAAACCAAACTGGAAGAAAGAAAGAGCAGAGAGAGAGAGAGAGAGAGAGAGAGAGAGAGAGAGAATGCATGCTTTATTTCCAGACATAAAAAGAGAATCATTATTTTATGCACATTGTCTGTAAGTGTCAGACTGTGGTGAAGAATCCAACCCCAGCCTCTCTTCATTCATTGTCATTCCCCCCCTCTCATTTCCTCCATCTTCCATTCGGATTTCTCCGTAATGGGACAGCCCCCATTCATGCCGGTCTTTCTTGACACACCCTTGGCTGCACCAGCAGCTGCTCCTGGCTGCATGGGCTGTAAAGGGTGAGGAGGGGGAGTGGAGGTGGAGGTGTAGAGGAGGAAAGTGCAGGGGACAAGCAGGTCCAGAGAGGGGACCCACTTTTAAGGTGGCTTTGATCTCATTATATTTACATTAAAGGTTCTATTATTGAATGAACTACATGTGACTATTTGCATGTTTAAAACAGATACATAGACACATAGACAAAACCTTAAAGCATTATGAACATCAGTAACTAATGCTAACTGAATGCTCTAAACCTCAGGCTTACAAAATGATAGAGAGAGCTCTTGACAGATTTAAAAGATAAACCATCATATCCGCTGTGGGTTAGTATGAAATATATTTTGTTTTAGGGCAGTACTAGTCCGATATATCAGCAAACCAGTCTGATTATAGGAATCAGTTAGACAGATAATTAAAGGGAGAAAGTTAAGAAGGCAAAAGAAGGAAGACGAGGCAGAACAAGAAAGAAGTGTTTCAGAGGAAGATAAGAAAAAAGAGACATGCAGGGAAGCAGAGATAGAGAGAAGCAGAAATATGAGAGAGACAATCGTGTATCAGGAGGAGGATGGAGGCATGATGCTACCGCCCTCCTGGCTCGTGTGGGAGAGGAGAGATGAGGGGGGAAAAAGACTCTTAAGTCAGTCAGGATGGATGTCAGGCTGATGAGATCAGCCTGAAAGACGTAACCTCCATGCCTCTCACCGCGAGGAGGCTGCTGGATGTGTCACGAGCACTTCAGTGAAAGCTGCGCCTTGTACAGTTCGATTGATGTAATTGGCCATAACAGGAGACAGGAGAGCAGTGACCTCATTTAGAGTCTGACTTTTAAAATGGACATCACGCCCTGAGCCAAAGGACCGCTGTCACATCTGTATCTCAGGCTTCTTCGCTGATGCTTTTATCCAGAACACCTGCCGACGAAACAACAGTCTTTCAATATTTTCACCTTTAATTACAACGGCACAGAAACTTTCTGTTTTTGGTTGTAAGAGGGGGAAAAGTTCAGCCAGGATAGGCCTCTTCTTGGCCTTGTCTAGCCTTCTTACACTGCTTTCATTTATATTCTTTAGATGCACACCCGCTACTCTGACTGTGCTTCACTGAATAGATTTTTCATGTGCCAGTCTTTGAATGTATGTGCATGTGTGCATCTTGTCAACGACCTGCGGCATGACCTTTATACAATCAGCAGCAACCTCTCATTTTCCCGTCAGATATATAGTTGTCTCAATCAATGAATCAAACCTGTGATTTACGTCTTTGCAGCACTCACACATTCAATAAGCTAATGGCTCTGTACATTAAAGCGAGATGATTCAAACCTGCTGCCCAGGGCACCGATTAGAATATATGTTATGATTACTGTGTTTTGCTAAAGGACTAAGAGCCTTTTGAGCAATTTTTCTGCCCACTTTAATGCTAGGTTGTCATTTGGAAGTGACTTTGCGTCTGTTGATGCGTAGATACAAAGTAGATGGGCTTTCTTCTCTTTTTTTTTCTTTAAATAGTACTCTAATCCTTCATCTGCAGAAGCTGGCAGAAATTCAATGGCTTTTTATTGTTCTCTAAGATGCAGTGCTTTGCTCTGTTCCATAATGCTGCAGTGGATACAAACAGGAAAATAACTTTCCAGACTTCATTATTTGGGGCATAACTGTGGAATTTGATGTTTATTTTATAACTTTTTGTAATATAACACTTATTAAGTTTCTTTATTGATCCCCCATAGGAGAAATTCAAAGATGGAGGTAATATTATTTTAGTGAAAACACTTTTCTTTTTAGGTCTACATGGGAGGTTCAGTAAGTAAACACATTATATGGGTATATCGCTCAGTCACCTAATGATGATAAATGCATTGCTTTTGTCCTAATTCACTTACCAGGCTTTTTGAAGTCAGCTATCCCATTAGGGCCTCTCTGTTGAGACAGAGGTCGGAAATGACTGGATTGCGAGTTGTTGTCAAAGTGTTAGCCTAATTGTAGGTGTAGTGTTGAAACAGTGGAGTTGCACTGCAGATGAATGCACGCCTTGTCAGCGTTCAGAGTAAACAGATGGATTTGATGTGAATGCAGCATCTGGAATTATTTTCACAATGTCACACTGTCATATTTCTTCAGGCAGTCTACAATTAATGTAATGCTCACATGCCCTTGTGTACACTGAGTTATTGGTTGCTGTAATTATTGTCGCTCTGAAATGACTCCTTTCAAACTTGATTCCACTAGTTAAGTTCTACTTGAGTTCTTTGAGAAGAGTAATTCTGTTTTCCATTCAAATCTCCTTCTCTTTCCAGCTTTTTCTCTTTTCCCCCTGCCATCTATTCATCTAATTTTTCCACCTTAATAACTCCGCATTACTACTGCTTAGTCTAATCCAGTGCAGTAGTCGTAAAAGGTCAAAGAGTCTCCTCATGCCAGCTGGCTCCTGTCCATCTCATCGTCCCATTGGGATGACCACATACTCTCCTACTCTCTCGTACTCTTTGTTATAGCCTCATTTCCTTCACTGTTTGCTCCTTTTCTTCTTCCCTCACTTTATTGGTTTTCTGACCTCCTGCTCTTCCTTCCTTGCTCATCCCTCTCTCTGGTTTGTGGTCATGCGTCGTGAGTGGAGAGCTGATTGACTCACACACACCTCTCTCTACTTTGAAGACACTTTATCTATGAAACTTGGGTTAATAGTGTATTTTACTTTACAGCAGCACTATAGATTTTCTTGTTAAGGAGTGCTGGCGGTGCTCTCCCTTGGGTATTTGAAGAGCTAATTTGTGTAATGTTATTTGGTGTAGCAGGGTGGTATAGAATGAGAGGGGGAGGGAACTTCACTTTAACTTGAACACCCAAATTGAAGTTGGCATGCTCCTACCTTGCAGAGGTGTTTTTCAATTGTTTAATTGAAAAACTGAAAGCAAATTAGCAATACATCTTTACCTTAAAGGTACAGTGTGTGACATTTAGGAGGATCTAATGGCAGAAATGTAATATATATTCACAACTATGTTTTCATTACTGGATATTAACCTGAAACTTAGAATGAGCCTTTTATATCTATAGACGCTGCATCTGCCATGTTGAACCACCATGTACCAAACACCAAACACTGGCTGTAGATGAGACCTTTCATGTTTTCCGCAGCCTCCGTAGTTTCTCACGCTTGGAGGGTGAATATAGGGGGTTGTAATCAGCCAATAACCGCTCAATGCCACTAAATCCAACACACTGGTCCTTTAAAGAAAAATATCCTCATGTCAAATAAAATGATTCCCTCTTGATATAATTATAGCATGTATCTATTTTTAGAAAGCTGTGATTTGATCTTTTGGAGCAATAATCATGTTAGAAAAAGCTTTTCTTATGTGTTGTGTATTGTTTGTGGCTTTTTTTTTTTCCAGAGAGAGACTATTCAAGATGAAAGTAATCAACGCTGCGGTGCTTAGCGCCCTGTTCTGCACTGGTAAGCACAAACCTAATCAGTCACTTGGGAGCAGGTTTGGATAAGTGAATGGCTAAAACCGACTTCCTGCAAACCTGAATTTGTTTCAACTGAATGATTAGCATAGAATCTATGAAAAGCACACCAAAGGAAAGTTTAACTTACTTTGTGTATCTGTTTAATTTCCACTTATTTGCTTTCCTTTCTTTTCTCAGGATAAAGTTAGATTGTATTTATATCTGGTCTATTTTTAGTTGTCATTATGTGAGGAATTTACATTTCAAAAAGTGTTTTTTCAATAAGAACAAAGGAATCCTGACTTATTTAGAAATCTTTGTACAAATCAGCAGATAACTAAAAAAAGATGTTTTTAATTTTAAATAAACTGCTCTCTATCTTTTCTTTCACAGTTGTGTCAGCATCTTTGAAAGGTAAAATTGAATGTTAATGTGGATTTCAATGCATGACTAGGAATGCTTTTTGAAAATTAACAGATTATATGCATGGTAAATGATATAATGGTAGTAGGTTAGGGTTTAGTTCTGGTCAGAGAAAGAAATAGCAGGCAATCTATCTCATAAAAACATCTTGATTGTTTCTACCAGACAAAGAGGAAAACAGGACAGCCTTCTTTGGGGAGGACGTTCACATCGATGTGCCGGATGGGAATGCTAGTGAGGTTGTGTTCAAACCCAGGACCAATCGGTCTTCTGAGGTGGTTCTGCTGCGAGCAGGCCAGTTGTTGAAGCCACGCAACAGCATCAACTCCCTGGGCCACCTGGTGCTGGAGGACGTGCAGGAGGAGGACGAGGGGATGTACATCATCAAGAACATCAACAACAACAGCACAGTCAAGCACCTCATTCTCATTGTCAGGGGTAAGCTGTCTGCTGCACTCTTATCTAGAGGTGGTGAGGTTGAAGAAAGTGTCCCCCAGCTTGAAGTTGTCTGTCTAAAGTAGAGGTTGACAGGAGCTTGTCCAGAGTGGGGGGCCCGATGCTACTCCACACTGTCTTTCAGAGGCTGTAGCGGGCTCTGTTAGGGTTAGCGGAGGGGGAGAAATGTTTGGATCATTTCTGGGGGAATACAAACATATACAGATTCTGTGCAGTCCCAAAATACAAAATGATTTTATCATACACAGTGACCCCAATCTTTGACATTGAAAATACAATTATATTCCAGTCAACAAGCTACTTTTATTCCTTATCAGCAGTATGAAGACTACTTAGCTTGGCTAGCAACTGAATGCTTAACTAACATGCTGTATGTGATATTATATACATATAATGGATATTTAGGACACATATATGACTACATGAAAAATGTTATATATTACATAAAATTCTGCGTTAAAGGACCAGTGTGTAGGATTTAGTGTCATCACGTGGTGAAGTTACAGATTGCAACACCTCGACGTACCCTCCCATTCCAAGTGCGTAGGAGAAACAACAGTGGCAGCATAACTCTTAAATGCGCTATATAAAGCCAGTGTTTGGTATGTCTGCTCTGAGCTACTGTAGAAACATGGCAGTTCAACACAGCGGACTCCGTGAAAGAGGACCCGCTTCCCCTGTAGATAAAAATGTCTCATTCATGGTAACAAAAATACAGCAGTTCTTATTTTTTTAGGTGATTATACACTAATGATAACATACTTGAATGAATAATATATTTCTTTTCTAGCAATAGATCCTCCTAAATGTTAAACACTAGACCTTTAAGGAATCATGCAACCAATCATAACACTATTTCACCATTGATACACAACAGTGTTGATCTGCACACAGTGAGTTTCACCACATCATGGAAAAACTGTTTTTCTTTTCAGACTGTGCTTTGGAGCAAGTGGTGAAGTACGGAGAAACTTACAGCATCCATCTCAACCACGTCGATGGCCCCATCACCTTGGAGTTCAGGTACGGTCAGCGAAAGCGAGACAGAAAGAAGATACAGATGTGTAATCAATATGGAATCATGTTTATTGAAGATTGTCACCGGATGTAGACTGTGGGTCCTCCCCTTCCCTTATCTGTGTGTTACTGTTTTAAATTCAACAACCTACAGTCTAGCAACCTAAACACTGAAAATAGCAAGTTATCCTAACCCTAACTTGGTGGTTAACAATATAAACATAAATTAAAGGTAACACCTCTTCTTTTACAGGGAGCCATTTTAATGCCAAGTCTCACTTCCCCCAGTGCAAATATTCCACCAAAACAAATCCCATAGTGTTTTTCCCCCCTATAGCAGAATGATACTGGGTTCCGCCTGACCTTTCTCCAGTGCTACTATAGGGGATGGAGAGGGAGGATGGCAGTTAAACAAGGGGGATGCATTCTGGTCGTTTTGCTAACAGGGGTGATGGCATCCCGCCTCAAAACAACTTCTGCCTTCAGCTATATACATTACATGTGCTGCATTGCTTCTCCTTATGCATTAATGTTAATCTGTCACAACACAATCGGCAGTTAGAGGTCAAACACCTGCTGCGACGTCTATTAGCTTGAAAAAGATTTACACTAATTGCTCATGTGTTATCTATTCTCTTTGATTTTTAACCATGTGAAGGTCCAGTCTGGTTCAGGCCAATCAGACTGAGACACAACATGCAGCAGAGCCTCCACCCGTGGTGCTGTACAACCAGACGGTGCTGGCAGAAGAATATGTTAGACGCCTCAGTGTGACAGAGAAACGGGTGGTGCTGCACTCAGTAAGGATGACGGACGAGGGGAGCTTCACAGTGCTGGACCGTGAGGGCAAAGTCCGGATGAGGAACTGTCTGAATGTCAGAGGTGAGGAGAGGTCTGTGCTTTGCTGCATCCTCTCAGCTTTAATTGACTGATCTGTCAATCTCATGTGCATGTGTCGTAATTCTGTACATGCTGGTGTTATGTGTGTCTCAGTGTGTCCTATTTACGTGCAGTGGGAATGTACTGAAATTAGAGTGTTAGACTTCACTGTCTGCATTATCTCATTCTTGAGTGTATTATCTTTAGAACATCCTAATGCCTTAATCTCAGAAAAGCTTGTAAGTCTTTATTTAATGTATTTAAAATGAGGTTAAACCACCACCACCAGGGATATTGGCCTCTGCAGTACTAAGGAATAGGATGTAGATAAAAATATATCAAGAACAAATTGACTTCATTGAATGTTAGTGAACAAAATATTGTAACTAAAGACTAAGATAAAATCTGCTTCTGTATGCTAAAAAATAACACTTGGCTTTAAAGGGATAGTTAGCATGCCCCCAGTTTGAAGAAGCAGACAGTAGTCCCGGGATGGAAACAGAGCAATACACTGCTGTGGACAGGGGCTGCAAAAAAAATCAATATCAGTTTAAGTGTGCACTATATTAAGAATATTTTTACTGCTTCACCTTGCCATCAGACAGCACTGACTGTAGAACATTCATATTCCTATGTATAAGCCCAGCTGTGTTGTGCACTGTATTACACTGCAGATCAGTCATTTGGGTCACAAGAAACAACCTCCTGATCTGCAGTGTAATACAGTGCGCGGCACAATTGGGCATATGTATATCATCAACATCTGTTTACCTTTCTCTCTTTGGTTATCGACAGAACACCAAAACTTCTTGCGCTTAAACTATGGAGGAAACCTAAAGGTGAAACTCTACCTGCACCATTCCAACGTGAACATTGTCTACAGGCCCAAATCAGACAATCAGGACCGGGTCATCGTGGACCAGGGGGTTCTGGTGACACCACTGGACCCTCTTCTGGAGGGCAGGCTGATTGTGGAGGGATCAGAGCTCATTATGAAGAAGGTCCATGTGGCCGACACGGGTCTCTTCAAAGTGACAGACCTGTCTGGGTATCCTGTGGCTCATGTCTACATAGAGGTAAACGGTAAGAGAAAAGGACACATTTAAAGGACCAACATGCTGTATTTAGTTCTGATCTTGCTTTGTTATGAGCTAACATGCATTCTACATCTCCTGATACAGTGCCATGACCACATGACCTTGTGTTTTCAGGCCTGTAACCTAGCAACCTTCTGCTAAGCTACACAAACCAACAACTATTGAACAAAGATAAATTGTGATTTCTTGTGTGAAGAACCTATAATACATTTTTTTATCACTAACATAATGTAGTGCCAGTAAGAGCAACACATCTGTATACATACATACATACTTTGTATGTGCCAACCAAAGTGTATGTGCAAAAGTTCAGAGCCTTTCTGAAGCAAATGAGAGTGTCAGTGAACCAGTCAGAAACATCTTTTAAAAGATGATTTAGCATTGCCCTCCTGTATCATTGTCTGACTCACGATAGACAGTTTAAAAAAAGAATTAAAATCAATGTGGTGGAAGCAGAGTTATCGTCTTTTTCATTCAAACCCGGCCCCTTCATTTCCCACAACGCAACACTGACAGTTCTGTGGGAGATTGTGGGTTATGGTAGTCACAGCTAATGTAGCCTCAGGCAGAGATGAGCAGCGGGTTACAGAGGTCTGGTTAGCTCACTTCTTTTTAACTCCACTCCCCCAGATCTTTTAAATTAAAAAAATTGTGTTTAAACCAGCGCTGAGAATATTGATCACACTTCACGCAGCTCCCTCTAGAGCCACAAAAGCCTTTATACATTTTCACATATGCAGTAGGACTCCCCAAGACCAGTAAACAGACTTTGATGTGTAAAATCGATGGAGTTCTCCGCCTTAAGAATTAGTGGCAGTTATTTTCTAGAGAGCTTTGGAAGAGATGGAGCAATATTACAGTATATTGGTTTCTTATTATGTTATGGAGTGATTTTGACTTTGGTTAGCCATAAATGTAAATGAGGAAACTGTGGTATGATATCAGTTACACAGTGTAGGGATGAGTGGAATTTATGTGCCGTGTAAAAAAAAGACTAACGCAAGAATTCAAAACCTTGAAATATTAAAGAAATTGAAATGCCTGACCTGAAATACTCACAAGCTAAACATTTTAAATGATCAGCTTCCTGCTGCTAATACACATGCATGAGTGCGTCACATGATAACACTGACTTCATTCAAATATGAGATTGCCATGCTTTAACTGATAACCTTTCATCTTCATATCTTAAGCTGGTACAGGGTAAGAAATGTAATCTCTAACTAGATAACAACCGTTATTTTTATGCAAGTTAACATACCAATTAAAACAAGATTCGGTTTAAACAAGAAACAGAGAAAAAGGATGAGTAGCTACATGGCAACACCAGACTGAGGCAACGTTTCTGCAGTCACAGAAGACTTATGCATTTTCTCTGTGGCTGTTTTTGTTGTCTTCCCTATTCTCGTCTCCCTCTCAGCCTATAAGCTGCCTCCACTGACTGTAGCGATCCTCTCCCTGGTGGGCCTGATCGCCTTCATGCTGCTGGTGTGCCTGCTGTCCTGTCTCTATAAAATGCATAAGAGGAATGAGAAGAGCAAGAAGCTGATGCTCCTTGCGCAGCAGGCCGGCAAGGGAGACGGCGAGGCTTTCAGACAGGTAACACCCACCTATAGTGCATTATCATCATTCTTCATTTCTCGTGATGGAGGAATATAGTAGGGTCACAGAGTTAGGTGTGTGTGTGTGTGTGTTGGCTGGTAGAGGATTAAAAAGGCAGAGGAGGGTTCTGTTCCTGCTGTGGGAGTCAGGATGGTCAGCTGGTAAAGTTCCTCCCCTGCAGTGCTGGACCTGGCACACATGGTTACAGCCAAATAGACATCAACATGGCTGAAGAAAAATTACTGCTCTCTTCTCCCATGCTTAGGCCCTGTTTACACCTGTGATTAACATGCGTCTTGGGTCGGATCTCACTAAATCATCCAGTTTCTGTTTACTACGGGTTAATCTTTGGTTCTGCATCCATGAGAATCCATTCTGCCCTTTGTTGCAGTTTCTTCTCGTTGTTTTAGACGCTGTTGGGACTGTATGAGAGTGTATCAGAGTGGTTGGCTATGGCCGTCACCATCTTGGCAGTCCTGACTCTGACTAATCCAAAAATGGGCAAAGACGTGGAGCGTGGGTGGAGCTGAGGTGGGCTAATTGAAGTCTGGTTAGTGAAAACAAACACCTGTGACAGCACCCACCTGTCACTTAAAGCAGCCATGTCCTTATTATGCATATAAGCCTTAATTAAAAGTGAGTTATATAAAAATTCACCCACTCTACAGTTGTCAAGAATGGGGACTTAAGCTATAGAGACCAAAACCAGGCTGCTTATTTTGGCTGTATTGACTCACTTCTGTAGCCAGCCTCGAGTGGCTGTTTGAGGAACTGCAGTTTTTGTTACTCCACGTGTTGGCTTTGTATTGGCTCTGCTTCGGATGACCCAAGATGCATATTAATGCCTGTTGTAAACAGGGACTTAGACCAAAGACAGTATGTCAGTGAGAGCTAATCATTATTAGGTGCTATTGTCAGTGATCTAAATATGTTGGGTAAACCTCCTGCGTAGGTCAGTGTAAACAGTTAATAGGAGCAGCAAATAAATTCCATAAAAGTAATGTAAATGCTGAAGAACAGAAGGAATTCATAATATTTGACTTTAAAGTAAACCACCACAAATTCAGTTAAAAAATTCAGACTGAATACGCTGTTGCCTGCAAATTGGCTCTCATTGCTTAATAATTAACTATATGTTGGAGAATTGAGTCTGAAACAAAGACCACAAGTGTGGAAGCTAATCCTAAAATGTCACATTTTACATTTTTAATGAAATACAAGCACAAAGTACAGTCTCGAGTCTGGCAGTAAGGGGTTCAATCGCAGACGATAATGAGATTTTTGCAGTAGATATTTTTGTACCCAATGATTACAGAGCTGACTTTTTATTCATTTTTGCTTGATTTTTGACCACTGAGTGTTTCTAGGATATAGAGAACCCTCTGTCGTTATGGTATTGTTTGCATAATTATTCATGAGTTATTGTAATTTTGAGCTATCAATCAGTGTTTAGCATGTCTTTTTTTCTGAAATGGTTGATTTACTCCAAAAAAGCCCTTTGTGGCGCAGTCATTACCATGCGTCTTATTCCTAAAATGTCATGTTTGAATAAAACTTGTCAATTAAGAATTTATTGTGAGGCTCCTCGAAGGTCGTGCTGAGCACAAAGGAGCAAAAATAGAACTAAATAAAAAAACATTGATTGTTTTTCAATTGGCTTTACAATCGTTGCGCTTCCTCTATTCACCTGCTCAATACTGGCTGATTAACTGACTGATTGGACGATTTAGAGGAGCTGACAGTTAACCTCTCTGTCACCACAACCCTGAACTCAATATCCCTAGTCGGCGATTTGTTAACCAACTGAATTTATTGACCAATTAAAAACCCATTACAAACAGATGACTCACCATATAGAAAGCACCTAAACATCAGACTGATTGTAGTCCAAACAGATATAAGAGAGATGTCCAGATCAATAATATGATAAAAAAACAAGTGCTGAATACTGTTGTTTATTCTGTTTAGATTATATTAATCTTTTATGTATAGATTTAGTAATAAAGCAAACATAATCAAAATTCAGCATTGATACAATTCTGCTTTAATCATGCTATCACATTTTTAAAGAAGGTGGCACATTTAAAAAACTAATTTAATTATCTTCATTAGAGTTTTGCAAAACTAATAATCAGAACTTTTTATTGCTTTTCCAAATGGTCGATTGACTAAATTAATGGTTAATTTCAAATTAGTGACAGTTAACCCCTCCTTCTCCAACCAGCATCCCCACTAAATGATCTTTTAAACTGATTAATTTATAGAGCGATTAAAAATCTGCTGCAGACAGATGACTCACAACTGCAGAGACTGATTGCTTTGCAGAGACTATTAGATGATGCGAAATGTCATATTACTAACCTGGAATTGTAATGCTCCATTTGAGTTCAGTTGTTTTCAGATAGGGAATTATAAATGCTTTTAAAGATTACATATCAAAAGCTCTCTTGGAGCACAAATTGAGACTTGATAATTATACTGTTACTACACTATATGATGTTTTTTTTAACAATGTAGTATTTGTGTATGATGTTTGTCATTTGTCTGTTTCTTCTCTTTTCTGTCACAGTATATGTGTTAATGTGTATTTGCCGTCCTAAATTCATATTTAAGGACACCTATCGCATTATAGACAACTCAGGTATTTACAGGGTATTTTCAGCTTATTTGCGAGGCTTAGTACTTGAAATTATAAATGTTTGTCTAGTTCATCTTTTTATGATGTGTGTCTGTTTTCAGTTTGTGTTGAGTGAATTTAAATTACCACTTTGGAAATGAGGCATTTATACTAACAGCTAGATGTCTCTGATTGGTGGCCCAGCTAACGCTGTTGCCTGTGCGTTGCGTTTCTCCCTCTTACTTTAAGGAGCCTCAAACGGAGCCTCTTCTTGGTGAGAGAATTGTGTTCTGGCCTCTTTTTTCTGCTCTTCCTTCTTTTTATTGGTGTCTAGAGAATTGTACTGCTTTTTTTTGGCAAATAAGTTCCTCGATCAACTTGCCGTTGTGTGACAAGATTATTGGTGACAGTTTCTGAAATGTGTGTTCAGTATTTTGTAAAGTGTGCTGCTTTTAATATGATGAAAATCAATAAAAACAATTGAGCACCAGTACACTAAATAAATCCTGGACACTGAGGAGAAACTGTCATCAATCTTAACGAACAAGCAGAAGTTGATGGAAGACCTAATTTGACAAAAAGTCAATGAATTACCTGAAGTGGATCTGGCACCACAACTTGGAACAAGCTGTCTCCGTAATCCTTACAGACTTTTCAATGTTCAAAAGACTGAGCTATGCACAAGCAACCCTTTTATGTAGACTATAGGTTAATTAAATTATTTTTGTATCATGTGGCAGGGGGTCGAATAGCTCAAAATTATTTAATGAACTCATGTTAAAACTATAAGAATATAAACCAATGAACTCAGGAAATCAATCTTAAAATGTTACACTTGATGATTGGCATTACTGTAGTAATGAATGGGCTAAAACATGCAAACACACCAGCATGGTCCACTAAGAAAAGAAATAATATTTATATATAACATATATCTTGTTCCTGAATGGAGGATAGTCATTAAGATCAGTATTAATGTTTAAGCTTAGGTAAAGGGCATAGGAGGCCAGTTATATGTCAGTGATTAATTCTAAAAATCTTGACTTGACAAGCTCGTCCAAGAGTGGAATCTGTCTTCCAGGATTTTAGATACAGTTTTGAACCAGGTCGGGGTGCTCACTGCAAAAAAAGTCCATTTTAACAAGTAATTTAATCCAATATTTACTCTTAAAACCTTATGTTTCTTAAAAAAAAGTGAAAATCTCAGCTGAAGGGGAAAGCTGTTTCTACTGGGCTCCGGTCCAGTTTGTGAAAGAAAACAAAGGAGACCAGTTCTTTTCACTTACTTTAAGAAAATAAGATTTTAACTTTAAGTATAGAGACTAAATGACGTGTTGATATGGTTTATATCTCCTCTGTATTGGTGTGTGTAACTGCAGCTGAGCAATGATATTAGAGAAAGTCACACTAATGTCATCTGGGACTTTTTCTTTCCGGGGTTTGTGACTTAACATTTGTGCCATGTGCCGTGTCTTTGTCACTATCCTTCCTTGTTTCTCTCTTTTTCTTTTTCTCTCCGCTGTGAAACAGATCAAGCCCTGCAGTTACTCATAAACAATCCAGTTATGATAACTGTGGACATGCAGCTTCACTGCTGTATTTGACCTTATGTGCTGGTTTTAGCTAGCTAAGCGCACACACATGCACATATTTCTTACTTCTGTGTTGTTTTATCGTGTGGGGTGAATTACAAGGTAAATATCAGATGTGTATGTGTGGGTATCTGTGCTGTTTTTTTTGTGTAGTTTATGTGTTAAGGGCAGTAGTGATTAACCTGTAGGCTTTATTAATCCTTAGACATATAGTAGATTTATTCTTAGTTATTTCCCAGAGAATTGTCACTGTGTAATCTACTACTTGCCCAGAACATCTGTGGATGTGTTGTCATTGTTTTTTTGTGTGTGTGTCTGTCTGTGTTTGTCCAGTTTCTGTGTTATGTGATTAGTTGTTACATGTGGTCATATTGTAGTTTTCAAGTGATAGAAAGCAATAGATTAATGTGTCATGACGCTGAGACATTCCCTCTATGGCGTGCTGTTTTTACATTTATTCCAAAATTTTAAGTCACCAAAGACACCATCACTTACTTTTTACTCAACCATCACTTACTAATCACAATTCTTCATGTTATTAGTTGCTTAATTTATATTAGTGAAGTTTAATGAACCGTGGTCATACGTTTGGCTTTACTTAGACATTATTTTTATATTTCTAGTCACCAGTTTGTGTTCAGAAGGTAAAAACACTCACATGCTCACAATGACAACGCGGATATTCGTCATCTTAATTTAACATTTGTTAATTGCCACTATACACTAAGGATAGGTTCAGAGGTTAACCTTTTAATGTGATGATGGTGCTAGAAAAGAAGTTATTGAATCAACAATATGGAACATGAATGTCTGGGGCGATTTTTATAGTTGTGGAGACATTTCACTCAAAACTACAAATGTTAACTTCATGGTGGCACTACAGGGAAAGTCAATAGATTCTTTGAGCTGTAGGTGGAGCTAAAGACAACAGTCAGGGGATCAGTTCTCAGGAGGATTAATCTTCTGAGCACCATAAGTGTCTATAAAATTTCATTCAGATCACCATTGTCATCCATAGAGCTTTATCGTTGGCATGGAAATGTTGTTTGTTGACTAGATATTTGCTCCCTCTTTGCACCAAACAGACCTTTCTGTCACTACTTCACTATTACTACCGTAGTAGCTAATAAATAGTGCCTACCTGGTATTATTTTAATAAAATCTAGTTTATATTCAATGTCAAGATAATTGGTTTTACCAACACTAAGATGAAAATAACATTAAAATAAGATTACATTATTATTATTAAATATTTATGCTCAATCAGCAGTCACTATAAACAAATACAAATATACATTTTTTAAACACTACTGACGAGTAAACGATAAATGTTAAATCAGCAGTCATACTCCTCTGTATATCTCTCACTCACTGTATGTGTCTGTGTGTACAGCGGCTGGGTGTGTGTTTGGGTATCCTTGTGTGTTTCGTGTATATGACGATATGTGTGTGTGCAGATGCTCATAATGTGCCTTTAGATTTTCCATGTGTGTACGGGAACCTATGATGTGTGTTTGTGTGTTGACGGCGGAGGTTGAGATGACAGCAGTTGCCCTTGATGTCGGTTGCTCTGACATGTTATGGATTTCCTCCCAGATCTGAGAACACAAACATGTGTGAGAGGATGTCAGCGACCTTTCAGGACTTAACCCGAGAGACCGACATGAAACTCAAATCAATCAAGCCACCTGACTCCTCTCTCTCTCTCCGCTCTCTCTGTCTCCCCGTCATCTATCTTTCTATCCACCTCTCCATTGCTCTCCCTGCCTTTCTCCTCTGTATATCTTTATCATCTGTCTGCCTTTCTTTCTTACTTTTATTTCCTCTCCTTCCACTTCAGTCTCTTGTGTCTCGCTTTTATCTTACATACACTCCATCTCAATTACTCTTCTCTCTTGCTTCTCTTGCCACCCTCTCTTCCTCTTACTTTGCCTCTTTCTTACTCATCTTTTTTGTACTTTATCTCCCTCGTTGCCACCTAAAGATGATTCACACATGTTGAGTCAACAGCATGTACAGTATTTTGTATGTACATTATGTAGGCAGCAAGCCTTTAATTACTGTTTTTTGTTCTGATAGATGGATTTAAAAAAAATTTAATATCATAAACCCACTAAAGCTTCTTACTATTTCTAGGAACAAATCATATGTTCATGTCATCATTTACCCATTACACATCACAAAAAAGCACATTATTTTTACATATTATATTATGTTGATAAGTCTCCAAAAACGGCAATCCATACTGTGACTTTAAAAACAGCTTTCAATTCAACTTATAGAGCTGAATTTGTGCATTTTCCCCACTTTTTTTAAAGATAATTCTGGTAGTTTACATCACTGAACATGGGCACTTGCAGTGGATAGCACAGTCGCATCACAACAAGAAGGTGTTTCCATGTTTGCAGACTGGGGTGAATGTTTGGCTTCAGGCCCCCAAGCAGGTAAAGCTAAATGGTGGATGTCACTAAACACGGTATGCTTAAGTGTTAGCATTGAGCACCAGACAGAATGATCTACCAACAAGGACACACAAGATTTGGTGTCCACAGTGTGTTTCAGCCCTCATTCTCTCAACCCCTTTTTCTAGTCACTCCTACTTCTTTTTCAACATTCAACAATGGAGTGCATCCTGCCTCCATCTATCTTTTACCTTCTTTCATGCTGTCTTTCTTGCAGTTCAGTGGAACCGACATTTCTAAAAGATTGCAGCCCATTTGGCTCTGTTCTCTCTCAACCTTCAGTCGCATCATAAATACAATTAAAGCAGCCTGTCTCTCAGTCATGTCACAGAAGCTTCCTCTTCAATATCTCATATGTGTATTTGAGAGCTTTCTGTGCAGTAACATGTGCCCCGTGTGTGTGTGTGTGTGTGTGTGTGTGTGTGTGTTTATGTCCTCTCTAGCAGTGTTAGATCTATTTTTGATGACTAGTGTGCAAAAGCTCAGCTGCTGGGACATTACATTGTTGTGCCCGCAGTTTGACATGTCCCCTGTGTGTGTGTCTGTGTGTGTTTGTGTGTGTATGGGTCTGCAGGTGGTCCATGAGGCTTACACCAGGTTCGCTGAGGAATCTCTGATGCAGTCTGTGTGTGATGATAAAACCTCAGAGAGTACAGAGGTCACAATCAAGGTCAGTGGTGGAACACACAGAGGCAAATAGGATCACATTGAAATATTATACAGTATTATAAACACACTGTAACAAGTATCTGATAATATATATATATAATTAGCAAGATGTCACGTTGGTTCTGCAGACAGTTTCTGAAAAGCAGTAATTCATCGACACACATCAGTCAACTCTAACTATTCATCACTGTACAAGATTGTTGGCTCTTGGAGTGGAAATCAGGCTAATTGGTCAACAAAACAAATGTTTTGTGACTATTCTGATAAGATACAAGAATCATCACAGCGATAATACCTTTGACTGAGGCCTTGATTGATTGTGAGAAGGAGCTGCTGCTGCTGAGTAATGTCTAAAACCTGATTACAAAACACCTTTGTACTTTCAGGGAAGTTTCAAAGTGGTATATCGATAAAAGAAAGAGAGAGATTAGTCCTTGTGTTTTAGATTGCTTGGCAGAAACTACCTGCTATATAATGTCACCTCAATGCCAAGTGTAATTAAAAGGCAATCAACCTTACACACTACACTCAGCAGTGGAACGGATTAGTTTAAAGTTTACAGGAAAGACCTTTTGTGAAAGTGAAGTAAAGAGTAAAAAAAGGTAAAGTGGTCAAGGAGTTCTTTGAGTTGTTTGATTAGAAGTTCTGCGGGCATCATTTAATGCCGTCTAACATGGAAGACCAGAATAAAACTACAGTAGCTTTCCCAGATTTGTTTTGTTTAAATGTCAAAAAACATATATTATATATATTATATTATTTCAGTCAAATTTAGCCCAGTTCTAATGTAGATGTCTTGATGTCTATTGCCCTGTGAAACACCAAATCAATGCTCACATGTGTGACATCAGGCTGAACAAATAGCTCTCAGACTAGCTATTAACCTCAGGAACAATCACTACAACAACTGCTAGACTTTCACAGGAAAGCTTCATGCTACTGTAACATGCAATCTGTCTAAATAATGAAATATGGTCTTCATATTTAATAGAGAAGGCAGGTGTAGCCTCTCATCGCTAAACCTACATTTTAAGGTCTGTATTCTAAAATCAGTCGTAAAAATCAAATGTATTTTATTACAACAAATCCATTCCTGCAGATTATTGAACGTGTAACAATGAAACTAAGTAGTGGTGGATGCATTGTAGTGGAAGGTAAATCTATAAATATGGTTGTAAAAACATGTTCATGAATTATTCACATTGCTTTTTCACTGACCTCAATTTTTAACCACTTCCCTTTCCTTCCCTTGCTCCATCCTACGCTACCTACTTCCTCCATCTCTGCTGGGGGATTCCGATTTGTACTCATCTCACCCCTCCCCACCTCTCTTCTTGTGTTCTACACCCCACCTTTTTTTGTTCTTTTCCTGGTTTCTCTTTTTTCTACTTGTTTGGTTTATTATGGTCTTCTTTATGCTCTTTTGTTCTTTTTTGTCATTTCTTTCCTGTTGTCCTTGCCTTTCATAATGTCATATTCCCCTTTCATCTCCTTTCCTCACCCCTTTTCCTGCCCTCTTGTGGTACTTCCTCACGCTTTCTCTGTAGGGCCTCGAGGTGTCCAAACCGGGCCGCTACCAAGCTCTGACCTCAGAAAACTTCTTGGAGATGAGCGACTCTGGAGTGGAGTTTACCAACTCTGCCCTCCCACTGGACAGTGACACTGACGGTGCGATGACCTACGCCTCCCACAAGCCACTCCTGAATGCCGTCTCTCCTACAGCTGTGACCGAAGGAATTCACTCAGAGAGCCTGGAGACCACTTTGGCCCCCCACTGCGACTTCAGCGCCAGTCGGACCCCTGACTCCGTCCTGAGTGCCAGCCCCGCCTCCAATCCTCGCTCATTTGCAGCTGTCACCCCCGATGGCAGTCTGTGCGGTGCTGCATCGCCGGGAGCAGCCTCCAGGGGCACCACTGGGTCGGATTCAGCCAAGACAGAAGGAGGGGCTGACAGCGGAGAAGCTGGGCAGAAGGAGGAATCGGCTCAGAGCACCTGAGAGGATGCACCAGGGTGTTTTTTTTTTTAGCTCATGGTCCTTACATTGGCCCTGTGTTTCCAGGAACCCTATCATATCCAAACACCACCAAGTCCTTGATCACTGCATTTAAAATATCACAGAAAAAAAAAATTCATGCTTGGATCTTGATGTCAGTTTACCCTGAACAACAAGAATAAAAAGGCAGTTGCACAAAATTCACAATACGATATTCAATGCACTAAATGAGATGCAAAAGAGTAACCCCAAGCTCTACAAAAAGAAGAACAAAACAATTCTGTGCATATGGAAATGCATGCATTTAAATTAAACATTAGTAGTAGATATCATAGTTCAAATCGACAAGAAAATGCTGATGTTAGACTAGACTGACTGCATGCAAGCTTCAGTGGGCCATAGAAGCACAGGCTCAAAAAGTAGGTATGATGATGTGAAAAGGGTAAAACACTCTCAGCACTTTTAGGAAAACACCTAAATGGTATCAAATAATTTTAGCTCACGTCGAAAGGTTGTCAAAAAAAATTACAAGATTTTGACAGTTTGATAGGTAGAGTCAGTACATTTCAAGGAGTCAGACATTATTTTCTAGGAACCAAGGCTACTAACAGCAACAGCAGAGCTCCTCCTGTATTGAGGGGAACCTCAATTTGTTGCCTCTGACAGCAGTTTTGTCTGCTCTCACGGCATCAGACACTCAGACACAAACACTGCGATGACCGCGTTTCATCCCACCCACACATAGACTCTATTATTAACAGTACAAGTATGTCAGAAAGCGTTGCCGCCTCTCAGGCAGAAGTGCTTGTCTCAGCAATCATTCACGCCCATCCATGACAAAAACCTCCTCAATGCATTCTTTCTAAAAAACCTGCAAACCGAAACAAGCTCTGAAGATCGAATACCACCTCTCCTCTGCGAGTGCCGGTGGTTGTTTTACTTTCTCTCATATATTGGGTCAAATCTACCACATTTCAAGGCATGGTCTAAAGAAACCCGTCAATACGCCCACCTCATCTCACTCATGCTAATGACGAAGGCCAGAGAAAACACCCACAAGAACGATCCCCGAGCGGAGTTGTCACAAGCCCTGTCAGAGCAAAATAAAATTCAAAAAATACTGTGCAACACTTTTGGAACGGCTCCCGAGAACATAATTGGATTTTTGGTCTCTTCACAGAAAGACCAATTCACGGACACCATAGAGTGACGAGTGGTGATAAAAGAGACGACAGAGATGGAATAGGGTACTATTCGGGGGAACAGATAAATGACTTGCATGATTTAAAGCCTACTATTTTCATCTCAGCCCCCCATCCAAGGGACGGAGCTCTGATTATTGTAGCCCAGTTGTTTGCCAAAATGAAGTGACTGGAAAGACGCAATTGGATCAGTGTGATAACGACGCAGCCTACAGCCTCAACGGAATGAGGCTGAATAACAATGATCATGAAAGGTGTGTGTGTGTGTGTGGGGGGGGGTTCATACAGAGCAACCAACAGTATTAGACCTTCAGTGCATGAAGACACGATTCCTTTTAGTGTGTGAATAATAGGAAATTAATAAGAGGACATTAATGGTCCTGCTTGTGGTCTATGCATCTAAACCCACCATACAGTTCAGTAACATTGATGCTACTATTGACACAACCATTAGCAGTATTACAAAGGTGTCTCGCTCAACATCCACTTAACCATCGACATAAGGAACGTCAAATGTTTACAGATATTTCAGTTTAAATGTATATTCAGCTACTCTGTGACCACCTTACGTCTCTAACTGACTCAAGGGCATTCACACCCCAGTAACTGATAGTTCATATTGTTGATTTGTTTACTGGAAAGAGCTCTTACCTTGCTTGATTTTAAAAAAGGAGCTCTAAGGCATCACAGGATGTGATGCAGATGTAATGAGATAACTTCTAAATGACAAAAAAAAGAGTTTTGTTTTTCAAGGATCTGCTTTTTACACAAGGAGTAAATCCGTGGTAGCTCGTTTAGTTACACATTGAACACCAATTAACACATTTTGTGGGAGAAAAAAATAAAGAAAATAAAAGAAAATACAAAAGTGACAGACCACAGAAATACAGACGAGAGAGTACAAGCAGTAACATGGCACAAGTTCAAACATATTTGAAAAGAAGCACGAACAGAGTCAATTAAATTAAGCTCTCACGGCCATAACAACTGCTTTTTGACTAATTAGTTCCCTTTCCTTGCTGCGGAAGAAGCCTGTGGGCTAATTCAGGTCACAGGAAACTGATTTACACTGAAAGACTTCTCACAGAACAAGACCCCCCCCCCGCGCAGGGCCAAGCAGTCTGTGATACTACACATAGATCCCACTTTTACACCTTTAGGGAATCAGAGCAGTATCCATGGCAACATCAATCACAGTACTGCACCTACTGCAATACACAGTGATCCTCGTCATAACAAGGGTCTTCTGTCCCAACCATCCCATTTAGATGTCACTGTTTCCATTGACAGCTGTTAGCAGCATGGCTACCTCGTGCTGTAACTGAACTGATGTCAACCTGGACAGTCTGTAAGATGTATACGACCTATACCTCTAAGGGTTACTAAAAGCAGTCAGACAGACACAAATGTTTGTTGTCTGCACAAGAAAAGCACAAATTTTAACACGTGATTCTTTTGAAACAAGAAAGAGCTTCACATTGTCATTAAAAAGGGTAAAAAATGAAGTAGCAGCTATTGTAAATACAATCCCTTCCTATTCAGGAAAATGTAGCTTGGATTGATTCTTTCGTTACTGCAGAGGTTAAATATAGGAATTATGAGTGTGTGCAATACCCCACTTACATGTTATTTAATTATTGATTTTGTATGGCTGTTTTTTAGGGCAGTGCATTTGCTCATGGAGGGACTTACGTACTGTATATCTGATTTAATCAGATATATGTATTAACACTAAGAGGCAACAGTAAGGCTCCTAAAACTGACTAAATATCAGGTTGATTCAAATAAGCTCTGATACGTAGGTTAGGTGGTCTGATGACACATTAATGGTCTAAGGATATTCAGTTAAATCTAAAGCAATATTAATCATAATGGCACTGATACATCACTTAACATACACAGGGCAGAAAGAGGAATCTGACATAACAAATCTCAACATCGGTCACTCTTAATCATCCTTTTTTCATTGTTGTAAATATAAAGATATGAGATCTGCATGTGTATAGTGTGAAAATACTAATATGTTTCTTACTGCAAGGGTTATGCAAGATTTTATACTTTCAAAATGGTGCATTGATCCTTTAACCACACATCCACAGTAGGTAGAAAACTAACAAGTAGGGCTGGAGATGCCTTCAGCTGGGAAGACTCTCCAGTCTAACTCATGTCATGTTTGGGTCGCAGTGATGCTGTGTGAAATCCTTTCATCAAAATTTCCTTCATAATTGCCTCTGGGGTTGAATCTGACACAGCAACAGTGTTGTCGTATTTAATCATGGACTTGAATTTTTACTCCTCATTTCAGGTCTGGGCCTAAAAATGAACAAAAGACAGACTGGTTCTAAAAAAAAAACAAAAAAACGTTTTGATCATTCAAAACAGATGCTGATAAAAATGTTGCTGTGGTCAAGATTTAAATGACCAGTGTGTTGGATTTAGGGCAAGGCTGCCCAGAGTGGGGCCTGCGGGCCAAAGCTAGTGAGGTAAAAATGCTCTTTAAATATGTAAGATCCCTAAGTTATTAATTACTTTTCATAATCTGAGCACTGCAGGCGGAGGTCAGTCAATTAAGGGAACTTGGGATCATAGTACCAGTTTCCATCTAATACAGTATAGCAGCTGTTTGCTTTTGGCCCGTAGACAACCATTAAGTTTCAGTTTTGGCCCGTTGGCACATTTGGTCATCCTTGTTTTAGGAGGATCTATTGGCAGAAGTGGATTATAATATTCATACGTATGTGTTCATTAGGGTATCTACAGAAGGAGCAGGTCCTTTTTTATGTCGCACCGCCATGTTTCTACAGTTTACATTACATAAAGGCCACTGTCGGTTCTCCTACATGCTTGGTGTGAGTAGAGGGGCTATTCATTTGGTTCCAGTCTGCAATGTCTCTGCTTGATGCCACTAAATGCTACACACTGGACCTTTATAGAAATACTTCAATATAATATTATACTTGGGGAAAATACAGTTGTCTGACATCTAGCTACAGAGTTTGACTCCAAGCTTTGTACAAAGACAGCAGGGGAAAACTACTAGCATCCATTAAAAGAGGGAAACTATGCCTATCAGCAGCTTTAAAAGGTTTCTGAATAAAGGGTTATAAATCTTTTCATCCAACCTTTCTCCCAACTATTGTACAGGCTGTAATTACAAGCAGCTGAGTGGGAAAAATAGTTCACACCAGCCTCCTAGTTGTTGTCAGAGTCTGATATATTGGGAATTTCTATCAGAAATACAGCCACAAACCAGTGGCAAAGAAAATCAACACATTATATTCATTTAATGATGTGGGGTGAAAAGATTTAGACCCCCATTTCACCACAGCAGGTTACATCCACTGAGAAAAATGGAAATTCAACAAGTTCAGGCCTTTGCAGAGTAGATATGTTGGAGTAATAATAATAATACTAAAGTTCAAGCAATCGCAGGCTTTCTGAAAGGATTTCACTTTCTGTCATTCAACCTCATCTGATGTTTTCTGTTTCATTACACATCACAGAGCTTCTCAGAACAGAAGTGCTGATCCGCGTGTGGGCACGGGGAGATTTAATAAAATGTTCTTTCAGTTCTGGGAGATTCGTTCTTCTGTTAATCTACTTTTCTCTGTAATTCCAAAGAATATAATGAAAAACCATGAAATGATGCCTGCAGTGTCACCGTTTGCTAATACCTCTGATAATAATAGAAATTTGCTTTTATGCGAAATATCAGAAGGACTGGCTGTAAACTGCACTTTCTGACACTGAGATCAATTAATTTTAATTCACTCCAGTGCAATTCAGTGGTTCTTACTGTGATTGAATTTAGTCTTATCTTGGATTCATGACAGATAATTGGAGAGAATAATTGAAAACCAATGGTCTTTGTCATTTTAAGCTCCCTCTGTGATATATAGTAAGAACATTTTTCTATGACTAAGGAACACACAATTCCATATCAGGTGGATAATTGTTA